TTTTAAAACAAGCTTTTTTTTTTTTTTTTATAAAGATAAATACTGAACAAGGCAGAAATTGTAGACAAATGGGCTGATATGACCTAATTGCTACTTTATATAAAATATGTAAAAAGTGAGTGGCACAGGCAAACCCACTTGATCTGATACAGACCTCTTTGTACCTTACTCCTAAAAAAAAACACTGACTGGTGGGCACCTACCTGCCCTCACAAATGTTTTGCCCTTACAGAGATTTTGCTCAATCTGGCCAAAGCTATCCTCTATGCGTTTGAACTGAAATAGCTACAAATACAAAGATTGTGTTTTTAATACAATGACACAAATCTCACTCTGTAAAGGAATCTTTTTGCCTGGCTTTGTTCTTTCTCCATTTTTTTGGTGTATACAGTAATTTCATTTCTTCACAAGGTTTAGTAACTTCTTGGAGCTTTGGTCTCTATTGGAGCTTCCCAATTTAAATTCAGATCAAGTCCCTCATATATACTCATACCCTAGAAGAGCCTCCACTTAGTTACATATGTGATTTTTTTAAAGTGTCTGTAGAGGGATTTCATAATGCATTTCTTGGCTACACATTGTGTATTCAGCTATCTTCTAATTGAAATAAATGTACCAGCCATTTCAGGATGCATTGCAGCTCAAATAAAAAATGATATGACGTGCTTTGTGTTCAGGTTGAATGACTGAGGTGTGTAGTGCAGATGACTAAGTGGCCCTATAACTTGCTGTGTAATACTAATACATGGTGTGATGTGAGACTAGTGTTGGGTTTTTTGATCTGTGATTTTCATGTTAACAGTCTGTACAGGAAAGAACGACTTTTGTTTTATCCAATAATTTGCACAAAGAAAACAAAGAAAGGGCAGATGATACAGTACCTCCATGGTCTGAGACTGGTGCATGGCTTTGATTGCATTCTGTGCCATTGCCCTTGTAGAAAATGTAACAAACGCACAGCCTGTGGGGACAAGGGGACAGGGGGCAGGAAAGACAAAAAAAACAACAAGACAAAAGGGTTGGACGCTTGTTAAACCAACACAGTCTACGAGAACGGCCACAAGACGACACTGTTCTCAGTAGTACATGAAAGTAACAACTCCTGGAACTTTTTAGTGGTTTGGTACTTACAGTGCTGACTTGCTAATCCGATCATAGAAGAAAGAAAGAACAAAAACAAAATGGGGAAGTGTTCTTTTCAGCCACAGGTGGATACACATATTTAGAGAGAGATAATCAGTTACAGGCACTGTATAAGCTTTATTATTTATGATATTTTCCATGAATATTATTGGTTAAAAAAGACCAACCATAAAGCAAGCAAGGGGACTACATATGGTGGTTGTATTCATTACTTGTGTATATTATTATTTATATTAGTTTATGCAATAAGGCAGTGCAAAACGAAAGGGTGCAATGAAAACCCTTGCATCCAATGTAATTCTACTGTACTGCAGTGAGATTAATTAAGAGATGCTTTCTGATTAGGTGGTTTTGGGTTACTGCCCTTTGCACTTTATTTCCCCTCTTTGCAATGTCTTATTGATAAAAAACAACAACAATGTGGGGTTATTATACTAAAGGCAAATAGGCTGTTCCCTTTGAAAGGGAATTACCCCTTAGTTTAGTGAATGGGGAGAAAATTCACTTTGCAAAGACTACTCAATCACATGCAATTTACTTACACATGACTGAATAATAGAAGAGCTTCACATCATTCACTACGCTAAGGGAAAATTCCCTTGAACAGTAGATTTGCCTTTAGTAAATCAACCCATATATTTCAAATGTTCAGACTTGCTCTATTGCTTATAAAAAAAATAAAAAAAAATAATACAGAGCATACCTTTCAATTGGAATGATTTAGTAAAGGCATATAAACTGTTCACTTTGCAAGAGAATTCTCCTTTATGAGATACAACTCTGTTGACATCATCCAATCCTGTGCAAGTAAAATTACTTTTTTTTATATTCCTTGCACATGATTGGGTATTCTTTGCAAAATGAATTTTTACCACATTCATAAAACTATGTGGAAATCCACTTGCAGAGTGAACAGCCTATTTGCCTTCAGTGAATCAACCCGAGAGTGTTTTAATGTACATTTATGATACTAAGCTATGACTAAAAAAAAATATATATAAATTACATAATACAATAGTTTTTTTTTACAAGGTTTTGATTTTTTTAATAATAATATTTGCTGGGTTTATATAACATGGTTTAGTGATGTTACATCAAATTAAAACATGCATTACAGGTTCTTGTAATTATTTTTAAGAACTAACTTTATCTGTTCATATTAACGTTAAGGTATTTGTATATATTTTTTTCTTAGTTGTTAGAATAAGCAACAGTGCCTTTGTCAGCTTTTTGGCATCCTCTCCAGTAACATCGCTAGTTTTTCCAATGTTGTCAAGTGCTTTTTGCAAGTGAAAACATTTAGGAGGTGTGTGTATATTTAAAGCTGAGATCCAGACAAAAAGGAAAAACTACCAATGAAAAGTGCATGTCACAAATAACAGTTAACATTATGGCACATTTCATAAACTGATAAAGTTATCTTTAAGAAAGCCATAAGCATGATGCAGGAACTGCACTTTTCCAGCTAGTAGACTAGATTTTATACCATTTGTGAACTGGAAAGATCTGTGTACTCTGGTTATCCCACTCTTTAAACACTTTGATCATAAAATGAAACATGAGGTGTGGGCACATATATGGATAATACTGTTGTTGTAGATGGTTTTTCCAAAAAACGTCACCCAAAGAAGAATGTGCATGCTCAAATAATTCATTGGCTGCAAAGACACCTGGGACAAGTAGGAGCGATTTGCTTGCATGTGATAAACTTATAAAGTGGAGTTTGGAGCTGATGCAATGCATCCTGTGCCGAAAACTTTGAAAAGGTAAATAAACCACTAAACTACACTTGAAAACATTTGTAGACATTGTTCTCTTATTTTTATAATATCTAAAAACCTGTTTTTTAATGGGAGTATGGAGTTCAGATTTAAAGCAAATCTGTGCTTTTCCCATGGTTTGTACCTAATTTTCCCTATCCCCAGCCGAACATGCACACCTTTCCTTTGCACCTCTGCTGTTTAGCTGCCAGGAGCAAACTAAATGCCCGGTACTTACAGGCATGGAGCACATTACTCACTTTATTTGACAGCACTGAGCTAATCCCCAAGTACCAGTGCTGTCATATGGAGAGAATCTACAGCACAGTGTAAGCTATGACACGAGTGACTTGTAACTTATAAACGACAACTTCATCTGCTGCTGGAAGCTAAGCAGAGTGGCAGTGATGTGATGGAAAGAAGATTATGTGAAACTTGGAAGAAAGGGGGCTTAAAGTGAACCTGGTGCCTTACCCTGCTTGGGAAAGGCACATATTCTCTTTAAGTAAAAGCTTAATAAAGTCTTAGAAAATATATTCGGCAAATGTACCACAAGTGCTCACCAAAATCTGTCCCTTTGCACTCTGATAAAAAATCTTTAAAATAGTTGCATTAAATTATATAATCTTAGTTCGTATTTGCTTTAGTGAACTCAGTGTAATGCACTATAATATGCAACATTTTTATAAAACATAAATAGTCAATGGAACGAATAAGTCACTGAATGTCACTATTGTTTTGTCAGATCATTTAAAACAAAGAATGATAAATATAAAAAATACTTGGAAATTAACTGCTGACAAACCTTTTGAAAGGATATTTTATTTCCAAAGAATCTGTATTTATCCTTTTGTCTTTACAGCCCTCGCTTTCAGAGTAATTCTTTTTTTGCCATTTAACATGTGTGGGGGGTTTATAATAGGGCAAAGTTTACAACTTTTTATCTGAAAATGAAAAATTGCTTTAAGCTGATTTTTCAGTTCTATGAGGGGAATTAATCAAAACTGGAGCAGACAAAATCTACAGCAGTTGCACATATTAACCAATCGGCTTCTCTGTTTAGTTTGTTCAGTTAAGCTTTGACAATGAAAAGATAGAAGCTGATTGGTTGATATGCTCAGCTGCTCCAGTTTTGATTAGTTCCCATCGATGTGTTTTGCAGTACTAACTCACCACTTTGAAAGGATATTTCAAAGTGGTAATTTTGTATATTTACAAAAGATTTAATCTTTCTGGTGATGACTGTCTTAGCAAGTATTGAATTTTTATTAATTAAAGCAGAAGAGAAATGTATTCAACTTTTGGCAAATCATAACATAATATAAATGTTTTGGTTTTATACATATCCAACCCGATTGAACAAATATTTTTAAAGGCCATAACTCAGCAACTGAAATACAATGTTAAATTAAAAACACAAACATATCTGTTCTTTTCTCCATCTTTGTTCTGTTTTTATAAAAATGTAGTAGATGTGAAGAAAATATATCCCGCATTTATCTTAATGTTCCCTTTTTTGCTGACTAGTCCAGGCCTTATAGAATGCGTTTATTCTTGCTGCTATGGAAACTGAGAAAATAATGTAGGGATATATATATTCTGTCTACAGGTGAAAGCAGTAGCTGGGGACCCGGAAGTAAGATTAAAATGTTGTCTTATGTTGCCTCTAGAAGGAGCCAAGTCATAAAAGGATTTTATCTTGCCTTATAGAAGGCATAGCTCTGACTCTTACTTTTTAAAGAAAGGTAACCTGCATTACCAATCCCATCTAACATGTATGCCTAGCTGTGTTCAGTTATTTTGTGCCAACTGATGTAAGACTCAAAGCTAAACTCCAAAACACCAGACAGATCAGAAAACACAAATTAATGTGGCTATGTAATCAATAAGGAATCATTACATGTATGTTTAAAAGCAGTGCAAATATCTGATTTTACTTTGTTTCAGCCTCTTGAAGTCTACTGTACAGTTTATAAGTCAACGGTCATAGAGGAGGGAAAGCAGCACAAGAATAAAATTGTGTGCTGCAGTGCAAGGATCATATTGATAGGGGAAGAGGGCAAAGTGACAGAGAGATGTGCTCATCAGTGTGCTGCTTCTCCTTTCTCTGTCTAGTCATAGAGTGGGTAAGGAGGGGATGTTTAAGTGAAAATAATACTACAACAGAGAAAGATCAGGTCCCTCTGTGTGGGGCAAAGTTTTCTAAATCTCAGCAGTAGATGGACAGAAATACAAGTCTATTGATGGGTAAAACATCTCTCATATATGCATCTTAGTGAATTTGGCCGTTTGCCTGAAGTTTGGTTTTAAATGTTTTTGTCCTATGTCATTGTAAGCCAAAACAGAAAATCGCACACTCCATTCTGCTATCAGGAAAAATGTGGAAATAATGTAGAGATGCAAATATTGCAACCCTGCACTGCTTCCCTAGCATCCATAATAAGAGGTAGCTAAAGGGTCTGGGGCAGCTGAGGAACCTGGAGGCAAATAAAGAATAATGTTTAATGCCAAATACCAGAAGGCACCGTCTGAGGCAAGTAGCTAACTCGGGTTTATGTTTTACATCTAGGCTACCAGTTTACAGTATTCAGCAATGCAAATATTTTGTGTATTTCAAAGATCTATCAAACTAATCTACACAAAGTGGTGCATACACAGATAATGAAAAATGAATATCAAGTCTTACACTTAATGAACTGTACTTGGTGTAATACTTGTTTATAGATTTTAAATTAGTCTTAAATGACTCTAGCCCTTATTTGTATGTACACCTTAAAACAAAGCGTTTTAGTGCTTAGAATACATAATCCCTTAACGCTACCCATGCCAGCATCGGCTATCGTGTGGGTCAAATGCAGCACTTTCAATGCTCATTGCCCCCTTAACTAATAAAAACAGTCTTTTGAAATTTCCATTTTATTCATCAAGCACCCTTGGGTATCTTGAAGAAAAAGACTGTGAAATTAATGCAGATTCTGGCTGATTTTGTAATAATACTATGGCTCACTAAAAGCTTCAGCACAGCAACACAGACATGTTTGACTCTTGCTCTCTAATG